GAGGGTGTTGCGCTACTTGTGCAGTACGTCGGGCATGGGGCTTGTGCTTGGAGGACGGAGCGACGTTGTCCTCACTGGGCACTCAGACGCTTCTTGGGTTGACGACTAGGCTACGCAGCGGTCGTCTCAGGGTTACACCTTCACTCTTGGCTCTGGTTCAGTTTCTTGGCGTTCTACACGCTCGTCTTCAGTTCTCAGCTCCAGTTGTGAGGCTGAGATCTACGCCACAGCCATGGCTGCACAGGAGCTACGCTGGCTCACCTACCTGCTGACCGACCTAGGAGAGCGGCCTCGTTCTCCTCCAGTGCTGTACGTCGACAACAAGGCCGCCATTGCCTTGTGTCAGGAGCACAGACTGGAGCACAGAACGAAGCACATCGCTCTGCGTTACTTCCTTGCTCGAGAGTTGCAGCAGTGTGGTCAGCTTCGTCTTGCTTACGTGGCCACTCGGGCCAACACTACTGATGTGTTCACCAAGGCGCTTCAGCCTTGTGATCATCAGCGTTTCTGTACTGTTCTAGGCCTTGTGCCTACTGTGCCTCACTTGCTTACTTCTTGACTCTGCTTGTACTGTGATCTCTATATGTATATACCTGCATGCTTACACTTGCTAGATTGTGATCACTGTACCTCTTGTTATATTATCAAACTGCATGTGAACTGGTCTTGTGACCGCTTGCTTGTGCTCGGAATTTGTGTTGTTTCCTTGAGATCCACCCTGAGCTTGCTTTGCTTTGCTTTGACTGGTCTTGTGACCATGTGGTTGTCTCCCACTTCGCCTATGGGGGTGTGTCAAACATTATACATGTTTATATTGTGTAGGCTATAGTGGGTTTAGCCTTAGAGAGTACAACATTGCTAGGGTTTCCTACTTGTATCACCCTGCTGCCTAGTTTATTCATTCTCGTTCAGTTCTAGTTTCTAACACCTACAGCTAGAATGTTATTCTCTGCTGCTAGGAGGTGCTTCTCGAGGTCGTTGACAGTGAGAGAATGGGGGTCAAGGGCGAGGAAGTGGTCCCTGACTGAGCGAAGAGTGTCAGGGAGGCGGGTGATGAGGAAGTAGAGAGTAAAGTACATCGGGGGGCGGTTCTCTGCGAGGAACTCGGCTGGAAGGGCGGCACGAAGGCGAGTGACACTAGCGCGCAGGTGAGAGATGAGGTCCTCAGCGGTGGTAAACGAGGACAGGTCGGGGAACAGGTAGGGTAGCATAAGTCGACCGAGGGCTGCAGTGGCCGGGGAAGAGTAGCGGGCAACTACAGCGTCGTACAGTGCCTTGGCAGTCTTGTGCTGGCTAAAATGCGCGCGCTCTGTGATCGGCAGATGGTTGCGAATAGCGAGGCGCGCAGCAGCATCGCGGGTCTGCCACTGGGAGCGGTCTAGAGCAGGCGCAGTGTCAGCAGGAGCAACGGCAGTGCCAGACACGTAATCGAACAGGGAAACACCGTCCTTGGCATCAGTCAGAAGGAACAGTTGCAGGTCGTCAAGCCAGGTGGTAAACTCTACTGGGCGACCGTCAGGATCGAACGCGAGCACGTTGAAGTCGCCATGCTTGCAGTGTAGGCAAGTCTAGCGCGCAGGCGGCAAGGCAAAAGGCAAGCAAGGAGAGGCTGCGTGCAAGGCTGCAGTGGCGGCGCACGGACTGCAGGGGCGCTCCTAAGGCAGTACGGAGGGCAGCAGTGGGCCGCGCGTGGGCCTCTAAAGCGGCGCGCGGTGCAGCAGCGGGCCGCACGCGGGCTCCTAAGGCGGCGCGCGGGGCAGCAGCGGGCTGCACAGGCGGTGTACGCGGCGCGCGGGCCGGCGGCAGGCTGCGCGGGCAGCTGACGCGGCGCGCGGGGCCGAAAACGGGCTGCGCGGGCGGCGGACGCGGCGCGCGGGGCCTAATCGGGCTGCGCGCGGGCGGCTTAAGCGGTGCTCGCGGAAAAAAAAGGGCCGCGCGCGTGCAGCCGAGGCGCGCGCGGGCAGCAGGCAAGGCAGGCAGGCATGCAAGGCCGTAAAACGGTTGGTGGGCCCTGAAAAACAGTCCTAAAACGGTCCTAAGGACCTATGTTGCTCTTAATACCATGTCGAGAGTAAAGGAAAGGTTGTTGCACTATCGAGAAAGTTGGGTACAAGGAGAAAACCCTAAGGGGTTATACCCCACATTATCTACCCCACTACAGCCTACCCACAAATATAACATATGCATATGTTTGACACATCTTGCGCCTTGTTAGACTCCGGTTCGGAGAGGTATTTGTCAAACGCCGATGGGAGCAGCAGCGTGAGAACGGGCTCAGCACCAGTGTGTTGCGGAGACACAGGACCCTGCGTACACGGAGGAACAGGAGGAACAGGAGGCGCAGGAGGTGCAGGAGGCGAAGGAGGAGCAGGAGGCGCAGGAGGCGCAGGAGGCTGTGGTGGCTCTGGTGGTTGTGGTGGGATACGGGAGTACCACCCGTCAGCGTCTACTCTAAACGCGGGCCTTCGCGCCGGTTTTTTCTTGAACAAGAAGTGTGCGCCGCTGAATTCCGCCATGGCTTCCGCAGCATGGCGAGAGTGACCAAGAAACTGAACAAGAAACTGAGAGAAATGGAGAACAAATGAGAGATTCAAAGGGACCCCTTCTGGTTAGCGCCTCGGGGTCCTCGTCGGGGAGAGACGGGTACCCCCTGTCTGAACCCGGAGAGGAGGGTATCGCGGCACGAACATGCTGCGCTGGCAGGGCATTCCAGCCGCTTCTCGATGGTTCGGGTGAAATGCAGCTGCCTGACAGCGCATGAAAGCATGATTGGGCCGCATGGCAACTTTCACGTCAGCGCTGGCAGGTGCGCTGCTCCTGGACGGGCTTTGTGCGGTCGGAAATCGAAGCGCGGCAGTTTACAGCGGGATTTCATGCATGATCCCACGCGCACGTTACACAATTGTGTTCGCCTTATTGCGGGCTTCGATTTGATACGTATAAATAACAAATTCATTTTTGCCATGATATAAGCGCCGGCGCTTATGGCCGTTATTCAATTACAAGCGCCACCCCTAAAAAAAACGATTTTATTATAAGCTTATATGCGCCTATATCCGGGGTAATACGGTATGGGCATCATGTCTTTGCAAAAACCGCACTGCACCGTACTCATTCTTTGCTGGAGACTTTTTCTACTGCAGCCACTACCGACCAGGGCTGTGATCTGTGGCACCCTTAACTCAGAGTTAACTGGGTTCGAGGGAGCTTCAAAACTCAACCCTCTCACGTGTGTGCAATACAATCACACCGAGCCTGCTAACTCAGAGTAAGCAAATATGGGCCACGTATACGTCAAGTAAACAACTCCGGGTACGCTCCGTAGAAAGCACGCATGGTGTTTCTTTCACGGGCAAACTAACTCAGAGTTAGGGCTCTCCCTTACTCGTGCTTTTTGAGGAAAACTCAATGCACCACTCGAAGTGCGATTCGGGCAGGGTAAACCCCACATAGCAGCACATTGGTTCTGATTCTAAGGGTGCATTCCTGGCTCGTGTCAAACTTCCAGTCTTCCGGGGATGACACGAAGCTGCCCCACAGTTGGCCCCACTTTGGGTCATCCGAGACCCACTTCGGGTCTTCCGGCTGAAATTTGCCCCTGGTCTTGGAAAACACGAAGTTTGACCGGAAGTCTGACACGAGCCAGGAATGGACCCTAAACCATGCACACTGCCCGACAAACTCCCACCATTCTCAGCCTATTATTTATTACCTTCAAGCTCGCAAAATTATTCTTTAATGCGATCTGGGTTGTTTGGGCCCAGCCTGAAATGCTTTTTGAGGGAGCTTTTGATAACCCCCACGCAACTTCCTAACTCGGAGTTACCAGTGGCGCTCAGATCACCCGTCTGAGTTACAACTCAACTCTACACGTGCGATATGATGCTTGTCGGTGTACTCCACCGAGCCTACACGGCTTGGTAACTCGGAGTTAGCTAACAGAGTTAGGGCCCATGTGTTCTCTTCACCACGAACCGCGCCGCACGCCATGGATGATGGACGATGGAACCGCAGCAGCGACAAGTCCCCTGAGGATCATCTCAACCATCACCCTGCGACTCGTCGCGTCGGCCTTCCGCCAGCTCGCGGCGAGCCAGACCACCGCAGCTCGTCGTATCGACGCCTCGGTGGGGTGCCGCGCGGAGGAGCAGCGGAGAGTCGGTGGGGAGCGGCGCGGCAGTCAACGCGGAGGATGCAGCGGTCTCGCAGTCGTAACAGGCCCACGCGCAGCAGCAGGCTATGGCTTAGCGCGCAACGATGGGGGAATTGAGAAGGGGAGAGGGCAGTGGGGCCAGCCCGGCTATTGCGGAATGGTAGCTAGTGTTTGCGCGGCTGATGGGGCCGCCGTAATGGGAGCATCTTTTTCTCACCGGCGCTCGTGCGCCCACCATGTGAACGCGCGCGTGGATTCTCGCGCTTGATAGCGTGCGGCGGCGGAGAGGAGCACTCTTGGCATTTCCAACCAACTCGCGTCGCACACGAGCCTCGTAACCCGGCGATAGACAGGCTTGCGAACGTCTCGAGCGCCGTTTTCTCGCATCGCCGCATGTGTTTTACCCTGTCCGCCTTAGAGTCTCATGCGCGCCCGCACTTGGACGTGCATTCCATGTGCGAATCGCATCGCGCATACCAACAGATCCGTGAATCGGATAGAGAGCAGCCCTTCTCGCGCACGTCCCCGCCCGACTCGTCGCGAACTCGCACCTCCCACCTCTCTTCGCTTGTCCTCACTCATCTCGCGCTCTCCGCGTGGCGCTGCTGCTCCCCCGGGTCGCCTCCGCTTGACACCACCAGCAGCGCGGGTTTGCGCAAGCGCGGCCGAGGCGGCGAGTGGTGTGATTCTGGGGTAGCGCGAAGGGGCGGTGGGAAGGGAACAAGCGCGGGCGGGGTTGATGCGCAGATGGGAACGTGCGATGGCGGCGGGACGGGGAGCGTGGAGGGTCTGGGACGGCGGATCTGTGATGGCGGCGGGGCGCAGAGGCCCTCCCGTTACAAGCGCCATGGATAGACGCTTGGCGACTCTAGTCCCCAGGCAAGTGGGCGCAAGGGGGATGCACGCAGGGGGGGATGGGCGCAAGGGGGATGCACGCAGGGGGGGATGGGCGCAAGGGGGATGCACGCAAGGGGGGATGGGCGCAAGGGGGGATGCACGCAAGGGGGGATGGGCGCAAGGGGGGACGGGCGCAAGGGGGATGCACGCAGGGGGGGATGGGCGCAAGGGGGATGGGCGCAAGGGGATGGGCGCAAGGGGGATGCACGCAGGGGGGGATGGGCGCAAGGGGATGGGCGCAGGGGGGATGGGCGCAGGGGGGATGGGCGCAAGGGCGATGGGCGCAAGGGGGGATGGGCGCAGGGGGGATGGGCGCAGGGGGGGATGGGCGCAAGGGGGATGGGCGCAAGGGGGATGGGCGCAGGGGGGATGGGCGCAAGGGGGGATGGGCGCAAGGGGGATGGGCGCAAGGGGGATGGGCGCAAGGGGGATGCACGCAGGGGGGGATGGGCGCAAGGGGGATGGGTGCAAGGGGGATGGGCGCAGGGGGGATGGGCGCAGGGGGGGATGGGTGCAAGGGGGATGGGCGCAAGGGGGATGGGCGCAGGGGGGATGGGCGCAAGGGGGATGCACGCAGGGGGGATGGGCGCAAGGGGGATGCACGCAGGGGGGGATGGGCGCAAGGGGGATGCACGCAGGGGGGGATGGGCGCAAGGGGGATGCACGCAAGGGGGGATGGGCACAAGGGGGGACGGGCGCAAGGGGGATGCACGCAGGGGGGGGATGGGCGCAAGGGGGATGGGCGCAAGGGGATGGGCGCAAGGGGGATGCACGCAGGGGGGGATGGGCGCAAGGGGGATGGGCGCAGGGGGGATGGGCGCAAGGGGGATGGGCGCAAGGGCGATGGGCGCAAGGGGGGATGGGCGAAGGGGGGATGGGCGCAAGGGGGATGGGCGCAAGGGGGATGGGCGCAGGGGGGATGGGCGCAAGGGGGGATGGGCGCAAGGGGGATGGGCGCAAGGGGGATGGGCGCAAGGGGGATGCACGCAGGGGGGGATGGGCGCAAGGGGGATGGGCGCAAGGGGGATGGGCGCAGGGGGGATGGGCGCAAGGGGGATGCACGCAGGGGGGATGGGCGCAAGGGGGATGCACGCAGGGGGGGATGGGCGCAAGGGGGATGCACGCAGGGGGGGATGGGCGCAAGGGGGATGGGCGCAAGGGGGATGGGCGCAGGGGGGATGGGCGCAAGGGCGATGGGCGCAAGGGGGATGGGCGCAGGGGGGATGGGCGCAGGGGGGGATGGGCGCAAGGGGGATGGGCGCAAGGGGGATGGGCGCAGGGGGGATGGGCGCAAGGGGGATGGGCGCAAGGGGGATGGGCGCAAGGGGGATGCACGCAGGGGGGGATGGGCACAAGGGGGATGGGCGCAAGGGGGATGGGCGCAAGGGGGATGGGCGCAGGGGGGGATGGGCGCAAGGGGGATGGGCGCAAGGGGGATGGGCGCAGGGGGGATGGGCGTAAGGGGGATGCACGCAGGGGGGGATGGGCGCAAGGGGGATGGGCGCAAGGGGGATGGGCGCAGGGGGGATGGGCGCAGGGGGGGATGGGCGCAAGGGGGATGGGCGCAAGGGGGATGGGCGCAGGGGGGATGGGCGGGATGGGCGCAAGGGGGATGCACGCAGGGGGGGATGGGCGCAAGGGGGAATGGGCGCAAGGGGAATGCACGCAGGGGGGGATGGGCGCAAGGGGGGATGGGCGCAAGGGGGATGGGCGCAAGGGGGATGGGCGCAAGGGGGATGCACGCAGGGGGGATGGGCGCAAGGGGGGATGGGCGCAAGGGGGATGGGCGCAAGGGGGATGGGCGCAAGGGGGGATGGGTGCAAGGGGGGATTTGCGATGGCAGTGGTGGCATTGGGATGCATTCCTGCCGAAGTAGACAGCACAGGCCAGCCAACTTACTCATGCCACTGCTGCTGCCATCTCGGCACACCTTCCCTTTGTGTCCACTTTCCTCTCTCTCCACGGCTCAGGACAGCCTCCCCCCCACGCACGCTGGGGCGAGGCGGTGATGAGAGGGCAGCGGCGGCAGTGGTGGCAGTGGCAGGGCAGGCATGGGCAGCGAGAGTGAACTTGGGAGCTTGATGGCTGCGGGCTGGCAGTCTAATCGAGAGGCGGGGCTAGCAGGTGAGGTATGAGTTTGGGAGGTGTGAGTATGGTAGGTATGAGTATGGGAGGTGCGAGTATGGGAGGTGTGAGTATGGGAGGTGTGAGCATGGGAGGTGTGAGTATGGGAGGTGTGAGTATGGGAGGTGTGAGTATGGGAGGTGTGAGTATGGGAGGTGTGAGTATGGGAGGTGTGAGTATGAGTCAACCAATGCATGCCAGCCGATGCTTGATGGCAGCATGCAGGCGTATGAGTGAGCAGCGGATGGCCGAGGATGGGAGGTGCGAGTATGAGAAAGAGTGAGGCGGTGAGGGTGGAGCATGGTGTGAGGCAGTGAGGGCACGGTGGTTGGCGTGGACATTCAAAGGTGGGGTTGGAGTGGCAAAGAGACAGGGGGAGGGAGGAGTGAGATTCGTGTTCGTTGTATGGGAGGCTGTGGGAACGGAGAAGAGGTTGGGAACCATACCATGTACGTGGTGTAGGATGGAAGGAGTGGTGTAGCTGTCATTCCACTCAACTTCCATTCCCACTTTCCCAGCCCGTTTTCCTAGCCAGCCCAGTTTCCATTGCCGTACTTCTTGTTAACTTCATATTTCCACTCTCTCAGTCAGGTTTTCACTTCCAGTTTTCTGTCACCCGCCTGTGTTGATTGCTGAGTCTTCTCATAATGTCCTTTGTTCAATCAGCGTCACTCTGTCATTCTCCACCATGTGCCACAGCATGCCCGTCTTCCTTTCATGCGGTTTGCCATAACAGAACACCGTGCTGTATGCCTGCTGTCTTTGCTCCATCATTCTTCTAGATAAGGATTTTTTATTGAAAGGGGTGAGAGGGAGAAGGGGTGAGAGAGGGGGAAGGGGTGAGAGAGGGGGAAGGGGTGAGATAGCATGAAGGGATGAGAGAGGAGAAGGGGTCCAAGATAGGTGGAAAGAAGCTCAGTTCGGATGATAGAGTTCTGATGATTGCAATGCTGTACGATAAATAGGCTTCACTTATGCCTGTCCTTCCTGCTGACTGCTGCTGAACTGAACACATGCTTCACGCCCGACAATCTGGTTTACTGATTACACCACATTCCATTCTGCACTCACGTTCACCATTTTGCAAGCAGGATCCGGCCGGGCGGGGCCTCAATAAGACTAGCTCACTGATGAAGCAGGGGTTCTCATGCATTGGACAATTGCTTCTGTCAAATTTCGTCCTACAGTTGAACAACCTTTTCTTGGTGTTGTGCGATTTGCTGGGGGGAAAGATAATGGATGGATGATGACTGGAAAAATAATGATGTAATAATGCAAGGTAAAGGAAAGGATGCCAAATTGTACACTTACATGCTTTGTGGTGTAAGTACTTCATATTCAACCAATAATGGCTCGAAATATGACGTCAAACTTCATTCTTACTGGCAGCAGGTTTTTCATGTTAACAAGAGCAACATGAGCGTGATGGTCTGCACCTTCAGCTCCAGCAGTGCAAACAGCACAAGCTGCGCATCGGTGCAAACTCCTGCTGTAAAAGCCAGCACAAAAAAAATCAGTGAAAAAAAACTCCAACAAATGCCAGACCTCAGAAAAAAATGTTGGTCTCTCCATCCTGAGAAAGGTTTCAGCTGCTGTTGTCCCTGTTGACGCTGCTACTGCTGCAGCTGCTGCTAAGAACTCTGACATAAAGTCAAGGCAAATGCCAAGTTCCGATAATGAAGATGCAGCCAAGGTAAGAGTGGAAGGGACAACAGCAAATAAGGCATCAAATGTGAAGGCTAGAGGGACGAGGCGGATGAAGAGGTGGGTGAGTAGAGCTTGGTCAAGCATAGCCTTGAATAAGTGGCACAGTGGCAAGTAAGGTAAAGCTGGTGGGGGTGATGTGGAATGATGGTGGTAGGGGTGCACCCCCTTTTTTCCATCCTGCCTTGCAGGATGTTGTGGGAATGATGGGAATGAATGGTGGATGGAGAGAAAGAAATGGTATCGATGCCACTTTAGACTTAGTAACCATGTCTAGTCTAGTAATATCAATATATGCATCGTCTTTTCATGCTCTGGTGTGGATGGGGGTGAATGGACAGCTTGGAATGGAGGAATGTGTGTGAAAACATAGTTAGGACTCATACTTTCTGATAGGACTCATACTTTCTGATCGGAATGTGAAACAAGCATGGTGAATTTGTACAAAAACCATGCTCAATACTGAATTTCAATGGCCAGGGCATGGAGCATTATAAAGGGACGATTCAATGCCAGAACCATAGTGACAAGAATGAACATAAATGGTCAAGTTGAAGCACAAATATTAAAATGGCTCTGAAAACTTTGAAGCAATGAGATGTGATATTCACATGTTGTTGCTGAAATGAGTGAAGTATCAACTAGGCCCATTGTCAGAGCTTGACCAAAATGATTGGGATGGCAACAGAATATGAAATGAATGTTTCGTGAATTATTTATGGCCATGAGAATGAAAGCAGGAGTGGCCTTGAGATTGTGAGTGAGTCACTTGATAAACGATCCGTGCCATGTTCCCACTACCATCATCCCACTGCCATATTCCCACTATCATGATCCCACTACCATGTTCCCACTATCATCATCCCACTGCCATGTTCCCACTATCAACATCCCACTGCCATATTCCCACTATCAACATCCCACTACCATGTTCCCACTACCATCATCCCACTGCCATATTCCCACTATCAACATCCCACTGCCATGTTCCCACTATCATCATCCCACTGCCATATTCCCACTATCATCATCCCACTGCCATGTTCCCACTATCATCTTCCCACTGCCATGTTCCCACTATCATCATCCCACTGCCATATTCCCACTATCATCATCCCACTGCCATGTTCCCACTATCATCAGGCTGGGGTTAGAAGGGAAGAAGGAGGAATTAACCATGAAGGAGGGGGATGGCGTTGTGAGACTGAAAGATGTGGCCATATTTTCAATCCAGTTCTGTTTGTCCTTTTCCCTGCCACCTGTTCATTGCCATTTTTTACATCATCTTTCCATTTTCCCGTTTTTGTTTTTTCCAGTCGGCCCCATTGTCCCTTGTCCAGCCAGCTTGATGGTTGTGCTCATGCAGTCTGGGATGACATGGGGTGGGATGAGGTGATGTGAGTGCGATATGGAATGAGGTGATGTAAGTGTGAGTTAGGATGAGGTGATGTGAGCGTGAGATGGGATGAGGTGATGGGAGTGTGAGATGGGATGACGTGATGGGAATGTGGGATGGAATGAGGTGATGGGAGTGTGAGATGGGATGAGGTGATGTGAGTGTGAGATGGTATGAGGTGATGGGAGTGTGAGATGGTATGAGGTGATGGGAGTGTGAGATGGGATGAGGTGATGATGGGAGTGTGAGATGGGATGAGATGGGAATGTGAGATGGTATGAGGTGATGATGGGAGTGTGAGATGGTATGAGGTGATGGGAGTGTGAGATGGTATGAGGTGATGGGAGTGTGAGATGATATGAGGTGATGGGAGTGTGAGATGGTATGAGGTGATGGGACATTGGCTATCTTTAAGTCCTTTTGACTTGTCAACTTGACATCTTCCCTGTTTGTTCAGCCAACTTGACATTACCAATTTCCAGTAAACTTCTCATTTTCAGTCATCTTGCTGAATTACCGCTTCCATTTTCCACTCATTGTTCTCATTCCTGTTTCCAAATTCTCATTTGCCATTTTTCTGCCCAGTCAATTGCCCATTGCTTGCCATTTTCCAGTCAGCTTCACTTCACTGTGCCATTTTTGTCCTGCCAGCGTCTCATAGGCATTTGGTCCAGTCGAGTTTGCGTTGCCATTCCTTACCAAAAGCACTAACTTTCCAGCCAGTTTCCCACTGTACCTTTCAAGTCTTCCTTAAGTGTCGAATCAATCAACTCTCCATGTCTATTACCCATAGTTATTTATATCCTGACCAGCTTTCCGTTGCTACATTCCTTCAGATTGACAATTATCATTTTCCCGTTGCAATTTCTTCCCCTGCCATCTTTACACTGCTCTCACATGCATGGGCTGCTACAGAATCGCCCCATCCGCATGTCTATCATCCCAGCACCCATCGTTCTGCCCAGCCCACAATGTTTCCATCTCATGCCTACATGCCTGTGTCACACCATAGAGGCACCCCTCCCACGCCCTCTCATCATATCCTGCTTACTTTTCTTTGTCATTTGTATTCTTGTTAGCTTCTTGTTCTCAATATTCCTGCCAATTTCGCTTTCGTTTTCCCAGGCACCTTACATGTCGTTAGCGAGTTAGATGGTATAGCTATGTTTACAGTCGATTATGTATTGCCGTTTTCTTTTCCACATCTCATATTCATTAGTCCTGCCAGTTTTCCACAATCGCTTTTTCAGACAATGCCCCCAATCTCCTCTTTTTCATTTATCATGTGTCCATTCATCTTTTCTTCTATTTTGTTGGACCTTTTCATGCCATTCTCTCTCTCTCAGCTTCTCATTGTCATTTTTCATGCCAACGTCCCATTGCAGCTTTCCCAATCACTTCCCATTTTCACTGTGTCCAGTCAGCTTTCCATTGCCATGGATGTTCCATTGCCATTTCTCTTGTTGACATTCCCTATTGTCACTTCTCCAGCCCCAGCCAAGTTCCAGTTGCCGACTGTTCTGTCTCATGGCAAGGTCCTCCTCTGCCCCTTCTCCCTCGCTCTGCTCCCTCACGCACATGCTGTACCACACACGCCTCTCCACTATCCTAGTACCCACTCGCATCATCTCTCCTCCCACAACTTCTCCAATGCATGTCTGCATGCCTGCAATGTACATGTCGTACCATAGTCCCACTCGCAACCACATCCTCTCATCCATATGACCTGCTAACGCCCATCCGTTGGCCTTCCACCCACCTCTACCATCCCCTCCATGCTCACCGTACCCCACCCCACCCGTGCTGTGCTCACCGCCTCCCTTCCGTGCTCTCGATGCTGCCCGACACCATACGTCCAACCATATGTGCATCATTAGGCGGTTTGCAGCTTCAAAATGCATATCTGCAAACAACACCACACTCGGACCAGAATCAAGATGCTGCCACCTGGCACCACGCGCTTGCTTGCATCCTCTTTCATGCAGTAATCACATCTCTGTCACCTTCTCGAATGCATGTCTGCCAGCTCTACAGCATGCGACATAGCCAGAAACCACATTCTAGGATTAGTGTGACAACTTTGTTTTTGAGGTTACAAACAGTGATGTTTTCCTCTTTTGTTTTCTTTTTTTTTTTACTATCCACAAATAATTATTCGCCTCTTTCAGCTGTGTGGTGGAGATTCTAGATAGTTCGTGAGGGTATTAAGAGATGGTGCAACGATTCCTAGGAGCTTTGAAGTTAGATGGGTTGATGTGCATAAGCTTTGAATTGAAACACTACAGAAAACTCTTCTTACTGGCATACCTCAATTTTCATGAACCGCACTGCACCCTATTGATTCTCAACCACAATTCTTTCCCGTCCCATCCGGTATCGAGGGTGCGCTTCTATGGATGACGAACCGCATGCACGCCATAGATCATGGATGATGGAACCACAGCAGCGACAGTCCGTTGACAATCGACCACACCACCAGCCAGCGACTCGCGCGTCGCCGTCGGTTCGACGCATCGACGCCTCGGTGGGGTGCCGCGTGGAGGAGCAGCGGAGAGTCGCGGGGGAACGGCGCTGCGGTCGACGCTGACGATGCAGCATGCTGGCACGCGCCCACCCGGAGCAGCAGGCTTGGCGCGCGACGATGGGGGAATAGAGGAGGGGGGAGGGGGGAGTGGGGGAAGGTGTGCGTGCTGCCGAGGTGGACGTGATAGGGGCGCGTCGCTCCTCGCGGAGATGTTGCCGTGAATCTCATTTGCGCTCGTGCAGCGACGACGGGAACGCGCGGAAGCATCTCATGCATTCTCGCGCTCCATAGGCGCGTGGCGCCGGTGACAAGCGCTCGTCGCTTTTCCAACCACCTCGTGTTGCACGCGAGCCTCGTAACGCGGCGGCGAAGGACGGGCTTGGAACGGGCTTGCGGGGTAGCGCGGAGGAGCGGGTGGGAACGTGCGATGGCGGCGGGACGCGGAGCGCGGAGGGCCGGGGTTGAAGCATAGATCTGCGGCAAAGGTGGGGCGCGGAGGCCCTCCCGTTACAAGCTCCCACACGCTTGACGATGCTTCCCAAGCAAGGTAGACGGGAAGGGGGGAAGGGCACAAGGGGCGATGGGCGCGAGGGGGGATGCGGCGCAAGGGGGGATGCGGCGCAAGGGGGGATGCGGCGCAAGGGGGGATGGATAGTGGCGGTGGCGCCGTTTGGACAGCAGAGAGCAGAGAGCAGCCAACGCACTCATGCCACCCCTGCTGCCATCTCGCCATACCTTCCCTTGCTGCCCTCCCCTGTCCCGCCCTCTTCCCTGATAGCGCACCAGGGCTGAGGGCAGAGTCCCCCCCTGCCACTCACAGTGGAGCGATGCGCTGGTGAGAGGACAGTGGCGGCAGTGGCAGAGGAGGCGGGGGGTGGGCATCGAGTGGATGGCATGGGAGTGGATGGCATGGGAGTGGATGGCATGGGAGTGGATGGCATGGGAGTGGATGGCATGGGAGTGGATGGCATGGGAGTGGATGGCATGGGAGTGGATGGCATGGGAGTGGATGGCATGGGAGTGGATGGCATGGGAGTGGATGGCATGGGAGTGGAGTGGCGTTGACCGCGGTTGAAGCGGACTGTGGCCACAGTCAAGCCGTGGGAGCATTATGGCAGCATGCACGCAAGCCAATGGGGAGGTGGAGCGAGCAGGGGAGGTGCGAGTATGAAGAGAAGAGGTGGAGAATGATGGACGGTAGTGAGGAGGACGCGGTGGGTGGAGCATGAGGCATGGCATGAAACGTGCAAGGAGTGGAGTGGCGAACGGAGAAGAGGCTGGGAAGCAGGCTACTGGTCTGTGGTGCAGGATGGGTGGAAAGGTTTGTGTTGGTTGCCATTCCACTCGGATACGCATTCCCACTTTCCAGCGCCATTTTTGTTAACTTCCAGTTTCTACTTTCTCAGATGAGTTCGCAGGTTATGTTAAGCTTGAGTCTTCTCATACTGTCCTTTGTTTATTAGTTTCACTCTGTCAGTACCCTTTTTGAAATTACTTTGTGCATTTGAACTCTTTGTTAAGCCATCTGCTCAATCATCGCCATGTTCACACGCCAATCTCAGTCGCAGGCATGGCACTTCCCTCCATTGCAGCTGGAAGGAACGCCAGGCCATTACTTAAAGGGGTGAGAGAGGGGGAATGGATGAGGAAGGGAAAAGGGGTGAGAGAGGGGGAAGGGGTGAGAGAGGGGGAAGGGGTGAGAGAAGGAGAAGGGGTGAGAGAGGGGGAAGGGGTGAGAGAGGGAGAAGGGGTGAGAGAGGGGAAAGGGGTGAGAGAGAGGGAAGGGGTGAGAGAGGGGGAAGGGGTGAGAGAGGGAAGGGGTTGGGAATGGGTGGAGGGAAGCTTAGGTCTGATGATTGCAAATCTGCAAGCAGGCAAGGCAATTGGGAGGAGGGGCGAGCGGGGAGGGCATGGAAGCGGCGAGTGGGGGAGGTGCGAGTGGCAATGCTTGTCATGGCATGCATTGACAATCTCAGTCGCGAGGATGGCATATCTCTCTCTGTCAGATGTGAGGCAGTGAGGTAATGGTGGGTTGAGCATGATATGAGGCAGTGAGGTAATGGTGGGTTGAGCATGATATGAGGCAGTGAGGTAATGGTGGGTTGAGCATGATATGAGGCAGTGAGGTAATGGTGGGTTGAGCATGATATGAGGCAGTGAGGTAATGGTGGGTTGAGCATGATATGAGGCAGTGAGGTAATGGTGGGTTGAGCATGATATGAGGCAGTGAGGTAATGGTGGGTTGAGCATGATATGAGGCAGTGAGGTAATGGTGGGTTGAGCATGATATGAGGCAGTGAGGTAATGGTGGGTTGAGCATGATATGAGGCAGTGAGGTAATGGTGGGTTGAGCATGATATGAGGCAGTGAGGTAATGGTGGGTTGAGCATGATATGAGGCAGTGAGGTAATGGTGGGTTGAGCATGATATGAGGCAGTGAGGTAATGGTGGGTTGAGCATGATATGAGGCAGTGAGGTAATGGTGGGTTGAGCATGATATGAGGCAGTGAGGTAATGGTGGGTTGAGCATGATATGAGGCAGTGAGGTAATGGTGGGTTGAGCATGATATGAGGCAGTGAGGTAATGGTGGGTTGAGCATGATGTGAGGCAGTGAGGTAATGGTGGGTTGAGCATGATATGAGGCAGTGAGGTAATGGTGGGTTGAGCATGATATGAGGCAGTGAGGTAATGGTGGGTTGAGCATGATGTGAGGCAGTGAGGTAATGGTGGGTTGAGCATGATATGAGGCAGTGAGGTAATGGTGGGTTGAGCATGATATGAGGCAGTGAGGTAATGGTGGGTTGAGCATGATATGAGGCAGTGAGGTAATGGTGGGTTGAGCATGATATGAGGCAGTGAGGTAATGGTGGGTTGAGCATGATATGAGGCAGTGAGGTAATGGTGGGTTGAGCATGATATGAGGCAGTGAGGTAATGGTGGGTTGAGCATGATGTGAGGCAGTGAGGTAATGGTGGGTTGAGCATGATATGAGGCAGTGAGGTAATGGTGGGTTGAGCATGATATGAGGCAGTGAGGTAATGGTGGGTTGAGCATGATATGAGGCAGTGAGGTAATGGTGGGTTGAGCATGATATGAGGCAGTGAGGTAATGGTGGGTTGAGCATGATATGAGGCAGTGAGGTAATGGTGGGTTGAGCATGATATGAGGCAGTGAGGTAATGGTGGGTTGAGCATGATATGAGGCAGTGAGGTAATGGTGGGTTGAGCATGATGTGAGGCAGTGAGGTAATGGTGGGTTGAGCATGATATGAGGCAGTGAGGTAATGGTGGGTTGAGCATGATATGAGGCAGTGAGGTAATGGTGGGTTGAGCATGATATGAGGCAGTGAGGTAATGGTGGGTTGAGCATGATATGAGGCAGTGAGGTAATGGTGGGTTGAGCATGATATGAGGCAGTGAGGTAATGGTGGGTTGAGCATGATATGAGGCAGTGAGGTAATGGTGGGTTGAGCATGATATGAGGCAGTGAGGTAATGGTGGGTTGAGCATGATATGAGGCAGTGAGGTAATGGTGGGTTGAGCATGATATGAGGCAGTGAGGTAATGGTGGGTTGAGCATGATATGAGGCAGTGAGGTAATGGTGGGTTGAGCATGATATGAGGCAGTGAGGTAATGGTGGGTTGAGCATGATATGAGGCAGTGAGGTAATGGTGGGTTGAGCATGATATGAGGCAGTGAGGTAATGGTGGGTTGAGCATGATGTGAGGCAGTGAGGTAATGGTGGGTTGAGCATGATATGAGGCAGTGAGGTAATGGTGGGTTGAGCATGATATGAGGCAGTGAGGTAATGGTGGGTTGAGCATGATGTGAGGCAGTGAGGTAATGGTGGGTTGAGCATGATATGAGGCAGTGAGGTAATGGTGGGTTGAGCATGATATGAGGCAGTGAGGTAATGGTGGGTTGAGCATGATATGAGGCAGTGAGGTAATGGTGGGTTGAGCATGATATGAGGCAGTGAGGTAATGGTGGGTTGAGCATGATATGAGGCAGTGAGGTAATGGTGGGTTGAGCATGATATGAGGCAGTGAGGTAATGGTGGGTTGAGCATGATGTGAGGCAGTGAGGTAATGGTGGGTTGAGCATGATATGAGGCAGTGAGGTAATGGTGGGTTGAGCATGATATGAGGCAGTGAGGTAATGGTGGGTTGAGCATGATATGAGGCAGTGAGGTAATGGTGGGTTGAGCATGATATGAGGCAGTGAGGTAATGGTGGGTTGAGCATGATATGAGGCAGTGAGGTAATGGTGGGTTGAGCATGATATGAGGCAGTGAGGTAATGGTGGGTTGAGCATGATATGAGGCAGTGAGGTAATGGTGGGTTGAGCATGATGTGAGGCAGTGAGGTAATGGTGGGTTGAGCATGATATGAGGCAGTGAGGTAATGGTGGGTTGAGCATGATATGAGGCAGTGAGGTAATGGTGGGTTGAGCATGATATGAGGCAGTGAGGTAATGGTGGGTTGAGCATGATATGAGGCAGTGAGGTAATGGTGGGTTGAGCATGATATGAGGCAGTGAGGTAATGGTGGGTTGAGCATGATATGAGGCAGTGAGGTAATGGTGGGTTGAGCATGATATGAGGCAGTGAGGTAATGGTGGGTTGAGCATGATATGAGGCAGTGAGGTAATGGTGGGTTGAGCATGATATGAGGCAGTGAGGTAATGGTGGGTTGAGCATGATATGAGGCAGTGAGGTAATGGTGGGTTGAGCATGATATGAGGCAGTGAGGTAATGGTGGGTTGAGCATGATATGAGGCAGTGAGGTAATGGTGGGTTGAGCATGATATGAGGCAGTGAGGTAATGGTGGGTTGAGCATGATGTGAGGCAGTGAGGTAATGGTGGGTTGAGCATGATATGAGGCAGTGAGGTAATGGTGGGTTGAGCATGATGTGAGGCAGTGAGGTAATGGTGGGTTGAGCATGATATGAGGCAGTGAGGTAATGGTGGGTTGAGCATGATGTGAGGCAGTGAGGTAATGGTGGGTTGAGCATGATATGAGGCAGTGAGGTAATGGTGGGTTGAGCATGATATGAGGCAGTGAGGTAATGGTGGGTTGAGCATGATATGAGGCAGTGAGGTAATGGTGGGTTGAGCATGATATGAGGCAGTGAGGTAATGGTGGGTTGAGCATGATATGAGGCAGTGAGGTAATGGTGGGTTGAGCATGATATGAGGCAGTGAGGTAATGGTGGGTTGAGCATGATATGAGGCAGTGAGGTAATGGTGGGTTGAGCATGATATGAGGCAGTGAGGTAATGGTGGGTTGAGCATGATATGAGGCAGTGAGGTAATGGTGGGTTGAGCATGATATGAGGCAGTGAGGTAATGGTGGGTTGAGCATGATATGAGGCAGTGAGGTAATGGTGGGTTGAGCATGATATGAGGCAGTGAGGTAATGGTGGGTTGAGCATGATATGAGGCAGTGAGGTAATGGTGGGTTGAGCATGATGTGAGGCAGTGAGGTAATGGTGGGTTGAGCATGATGCATGGCATGGATGGGTTAAAGATGGGGATGGAATGGCAAAGAGAAAGGGAGGTGGAGGGATGAGAGCATTTGTTTTGTAAGGTGTGCCTTCGTTAGACCTGTCGTCTCTTTTGGAAGAGAATCGTGAGATTTGCCATGGCATTTTGTCATGCTGGTCCATGTTGTCATGCTAGTCCATGTTGTGTGACTGCTGTCCTCGCTTTATGATTTTAACTCAGGGAGGAAATCTGGGTGGAACAAAGCATTGCACAAGAAGATAGGGGGGTGGGCTGGGGTGAGACAAAGGGTTTCGGGATGGGTTCAGGAACGCACAATCCTCAATGCTGAGATCTGCTGATGCTTGAATGCCTGTTGTGCAATAAGCATCTTGCACTGATGCATGCGTCCTTCCTGCTGACTGCTATTGGCCCTGAATGGCTGTCTTGACCCTCCTCTCTCAATGACACACCCCATTCCGCACTCACCTGGTCCTCTCTGCTGGCAGACTCAACCAGCTTTCAATTATCTCGCCACTTCTCAAGCAACAGTCGTCCTGCACTGGAACCCTTTTGTCCCAGAGTTGCTCCAGTTGGGAAACCTAGTTCTTGGTGTTTTGAAGTGCAAGCAGACGAATGTTTCGGGGCACTGGTGGTGCGGCAAGGCTTACATTGATTGGTGTGTGACCACTGACCATCCCCGTGGGAATGGCCACACCATCTGTAATTGAGCTGCTTTTGTAGTGGAAGTCGTAAACAACGTGTTTATTTAACCTACGACCTTGTGAGGGCTTACCTCCCTCAGATGCCCCTTTCCCCCCCACCTTCCCTTTGGCTGCAGATCATCAAGAGGAGACAAGGTGAAGCGGGTGAACACGCTGCAGTTCATCGGAGACAAGATCCGCTTCCCCCTGCCCAACCGCTCCGTGCGCGCCTCCTCGCGCTCCCTCAAGACCACCTACAAGGCCTCCCGCCCCAACACCTTCGTGTAGATGTCAGCAAGGCGTGCGCTGGGTGTGCTGTGTGCTGACTGTGCAGAGGCAATGGAGGGTGAAGGAGAGGGTGCGATTGTATCAGAATGCTCTGCACTCTCGTTTGCTCTCATGTATCTGGCTCAATAGTGCAATGGAATCCATTTTGCTCTCCCAATCATCTCGTTCACAGGGTACCTGTCAAGATAGCAAGCAGGAATGAATGCATTGAATGAATTGTGGGTACAAGTACTAACCCTAATCTTGGGTTGTACCCCACATGGGCTACCCCACTATAGCCTACACACAACTAGCACAGATATGGTTTGACACACCCCCATAGGCAAAGTGGGGGAGAACAAGGGGTCACAAGACCAGTCAGGAAAAGCAATGCAAGCTCAGGGTGGATCACAACGTCACCACACACTCCGAGCACAAGCAAAGGAGCCACAAGGCCAGTTTACATGCAGAGGTATATATGCAACAACAACAGTACAGTGATCACTACCTAGCAAGAGTAAACATGCAGGTATATATATATAGATCACAGTACAACCAGAGTCTACAGCAAGTGAGGAAACGTAGGCACCAGGCCTAGAGCAGTGCAGAAGCGCTGATGATCACCAGCCGGAAGGGCCTTGGTGAACACATCAGCCGTGTTCGCCCGGGTGGGCACGTGGGCGATACGAAGCTGACCACGCTGCAGCAACTCTCGAGCAAGGAAGTAACGCAGAGCGATGTGCTTCGTTCTGTGCTCCAGTCTGTGGTCCAGACACAAGGCAATGGCAGCCTTGTTGTCGAAGTACAGAACTGGAGGAGAACGAGGCCTCTCTCCCAAGTCGGTCAGCAGGTAGGTGAGCCAGCGTAGCTCCTGTGCAGCCATGGCTGTGGCGTAGATCTCAGCCTCACAACTGGAGCTGAGAACAGAAGACGAGCGTGTAGACCGCCAAGAAACAGAGCCAGAGCCAAGGCTGAACGTGTAACCCTGTGACGACCGCTGCGTAGCCAGGTCGTCAGCCCAAGAAGCGACTGAGTGCCCAGTGAGGACAACTGAGCTCCGCCCTCCAAGCACGAGCCCCATGCCCGATGTACTGCACAACTAGTGCAATACCCTCTTCGCAGCATCCATGTGCACCTTTCGGTGCCTACCAGGAGCCACGTAGCGTGCCAGAAGGCCAAGAGGGTACGCAAGGTCAGGACGAGTGCAGGTCATCAGGTACATGAGGCAGCCCACTAGCTCTGGGTACGGACCACTCGGCTCTACGGACTCGTCCGAAGGTGGAGCTGAGAGCGAGTGACCGGTAGCCAGAGGAGTGGACTGTGGCGAGGACCAAGTGAAGCCGAAGCGCTGAAGGACCTGCTGCACCATGTGTGACTGAGTCAGTGTGATGGTGCGCCGTGCTCTGTCCCGGGTGATCTGCAGGCCAAGGTAGCTGCGCAGCTCACCCAGATCTGTGCACGTGTGTCTCTTCTGCAGCTCCGACTTCACAAGGGCGAGAGCCTCAGTGTCAGCAGTGGCAAAGACCAAGTCGTTGACGTACACGAGGATGTAGAACGGCGGCAGCGAAGTGTCGGTGCGCAGAAACAGCGACGGGTCAGCAGTGGAAGGTGCAAACCCAAGAGCCGCAAGTGTCGTCCTCAGTGTGTCGTGTCACTCACGAGGCGCCTGACGGAGACCGTAGACTGGCCGGCGGAGGCTCCACTGGGTACCAGGAGGGAACGACCCAGTGAAGCTAGGTGGGCGGCGCAGCCAGATCTCCTCGTGCAGACTGCCCTGTAAGAACGCTGTGCTAAAGTCCAGAGAGTGAAGCTCGTAGTCACGCTGAGCGGCAACGTGCAGCAGCACCCGAAGAGTGGTCATCTTTGGGGTGGGGGAGAAGGTCTGGAAGAAGTCAACTCCCTGTCGCTGACTGAAGCCTCGTGCAACGTAACGAGCCTTGAAGACAGGCGGAGAACCCGGCGGCCGCTTCACCCTGAAAATCCACATGCCATCGACTACGTTCGCCCCAGGAGGGGGAACTGCGTCGACGTAAGTGCCTGTGGACTTCCAGGATGCCATCTCTGCGTCCATGGCTGTCTGCCACTGAGAGGAGTACTCACCCGCGATCGCCTCAGCGTAAGAGCGCGGGGTCGGGATGTCTGGAGCATCCGGGTCTCCCTCAGGGGCAAGCAGCATGGCCACGAGATGAGGCGCAGCGGCTGCAAGACACTCAAAGTCCTCCTGCCTGTCCTCAAGGACGTCCGTGCCAAGAGCACACTCACCCCCGACGGACGGAGGACAGAAAGACTCAGACTCAGCAACAAGACTAGCAGCGAAGTCTAGACGACAGGCAGCAGCAAAGTCAACAAGCTCATAGACAAAGGCAGACGCAGCAGCAGACTCAAACGACGGGTCAGTGACAACAGTGGCTAGCAGACGCGTGACAGTGTGGTGAGCAGCACGAACCAGGTCAGACTCAGGGTCCGGAACGTGAGGCAGAGAAGACGCAGGAGGAGACGGCAGGGGAACACACTGTGGAACAGAGGAAGGACGAAGTGCCATAGCGTGCGTGCCAGGGACAGGAGGCGGACGCTCACGAGGAACACGACTACCAAGGCGACGCGCGCGAGCAGGCAAGGCAGGACGAGACGCAGGCTCACGACGCTCTGTAAGCGAGTCAGTCTGCTCAGTGTAAGGAGAAGGAGCAGGCAGCGGAGAGCCTGGCTGTAACGAGAGACCAGTAGAAGACGGGAGGCTAAGAACCTGGCGAAGCGCGGAGTCAGGCGGTGGCAGAGACGACGGTGACGGCGGAGCGAAGAACAGCCGCGGCTGTGCAGTACCACCAGCACTAGTACCACCAGCTCCAGCACCTCCAGCAGCTCCAGAACCTCCAGGTCCAGCGCCTCTAGCTCCAGCGCCTCCAGCTCTAGTACCTCCAGCTCCAGCGCCTCCAGCGCCAGCACCTCCAGCTCCAAAGCCCGCAGCACCACAAGCTCCGGCAGCTCCAGCACCTCCAGGACGAGCACCAGCAGCTCCAGCGCCTCCAGCTGCTCCAGAACCTCCAGCGCCAGGGCCTCCAGCAGTAGCACCTCCAGCTCCAGCGACTCCAGCAGCAGCACCTCCAGCTCCAGCGCCTCCAGCAGCTCCAGAACCTCCAGCTCCAGCGCCTCCAGCAGCAGCACCTCCAGCTCCAGTGACTCCAGCAGCAGCACCTCCAGCTCCAGCTCCTCCAGCAGCTCCAGAACCTCCAGCTCCAGCGCCACTAGTAGCAGCACCCCCAGAACCGGCACCTCCAGCTCCAGGGTCTCCAACGCCAGGGTCGACAGCACCAGCTCCAGGGCCTCCAGCCCCAGTACCTCCAGCAGCAGCACCCCCAGAGCCGACACCTCCAGCTCCAGGAGCAGTACTAGTCCCGGCAGCTCCAGTACCTCCAGTACGAGCACCTCCAGGACCAGAGACACCAGCACTCCCAGCGCCTCCACGACAAGCAGCTCCAGCAGCACGACTCCTCAGGCGGGTACGCGACGCAAGCCACTCTCATGCCTGCTGTGGTGAGACAGGCCCACGTCGTGAAACGAGACCCAGAGGAACGCCAGCAGACTCAGCACCCCCAGGCTCCGCACCCCCCGGCACCTCACGGACGGGCTCAGCACCCCCAGAATCCGCAGCCGCAGGCTCAGCACCCCCAGGCTCCACACTCCCCAGCACCTCACGCGCAGGCTCAGCACCCCCAGAAGAAGCACCCCCAGCAGCACCTCCCGCAGGAGCACCTGAGTCGCTAGTGACCTCTACAGGCTCAGCCAAGGGGGGCGGGTCTACCTGAGACACACCTGAAGGAGCAGGACCCTGAGGGGGGAGGGGGTCTACCGGAGGGGGACCTGGAGCGAGGAAAAGCGGCGGGGGAGGGAGAGGGGCAGTGCGGTAGGGGAAGAGACGGTAGAAAGGAACCGACTCGTCAAAGGTGACGTCATGAGAGGGGAAGACACGGCGCGAGGTGGGGTGGTAAAACTGCCAGCCAGGCGCGTCAGGGACAAAGCCAAGGAAGACACTGGGAATGGTGCGGGAGGAGAGCTTGTCCGCAGACGTATCGCGGACAAGGGCACGAGCACCCCAGACCCGGAAACGCGACGCATCGCCAACCTCCCCTGTCCAACGCAGTGTGGGCGAGGTCTCCGGCAAGGAGACACGGGGCCAGAGGTTGAGCTGCTGCGCGGCGTACCGGACCGCAAACGGCCACAGAAAATGGGGAGCCGCCGCATGGATCAAGGAGGTACGAGCGACCTCCATGACTAAGCCAATGCGGCGTTCAGCAACCCCATTTTGCTGCGGTGAGCCCGGAAGCGTGAACGACTGCTCGATGCCCTCCCCCTGACAGAAAGCCCGCAAGAGGTCGGAGGTGAACTCACCACCTCTGTCAGAGTGCAGACGCAGGACAGGAAGGTCCTGGCGGAACCTGCGGCGGAGCCGGAGACGAACTGCTCGGATCCAAGGGATCAGGACAGCAGGGACCTCACCCTTGGTGCGCAAGGGGAAGACCGTGGTGTAACGCGAGTAGTCGTCGACAACCAGCAGAAAGTACCGCTCACCGCCCTGTCTACGAACGCGGGCTGGGGCCCACCCGTCCAGGTGGAGGGTCTGCAGAGGAGCCTCTGTCGGGGGAAACGAGGAGGAGTGAGGAGCGGCGCGCTGCCGCCCCTCGACGCAAGGAAGGCAGGGCGGCGCAGGCGA